CCCCCCCCCCCCCCCCCCCCCCGGGGGTACACTTAATAAGTTGAATTCATTCTTTTTAGGAACTTTGCCTTGGTGTCCAAATACATCACACAGGGACAGTGATGTGGACCTCTTGTGCAAAGTGCTTTGAGATCTAAAGTTATTAACTACTATAGAAGAGCCAGGGAGTAGTAGTGTCAAACAAATTAGAATGAGCCCTGTTTCTCAATTTTAAATACATAATAAATGAAGTGCCTTTCCCATGTGGAAGCTGAAGGGGATGAGCAAACAGAGCAACAATTGCATTTCCCTCTGCTGCTTTGACCATTCCTGAAAAATTGATATCAATTGGATTATCAGTTTCTGAAGATGGACAGAGACTTCACAGTTGCTGCTTTGAGCATAGGGGCATATAATTTCTCATTTGCCCATTCCAGTACAGAAGTGTTAAATGGGATTCTCAACGAGTAATGAGAAGTAATTCTCAACAAGCTCAACAAGCTTTTTGCTTGGAAAAGGCCTGTGTGGGGAGGTAACTGAGTTTAAATTCCAAGTTGAACATTTCAGCACAACCAGAATCTCTGAAACTTAAGCAGAGATATTTGTCATGTTTAAGGAGATAGACAGCTTGGTCAAGATGAATGATTTTTTTTTTAAATGTAGGGTTACATGTAATATTTTGCAACAAGATAGGGCGCTCTATAACCAAGTAGAAGCAACCCAAATTAATCAGTTCTTAACTTTAGCATTTAAAAGCATTCCAATTCCTCCCAAATACTTGCTAAAAGCTAAGCAGTATAGTCATAAACCTGTAAACTTTGTGCTGCTTAAAGTTCCACAGTCTCTCAGTTGAGCTGGTACCCCTTCACATTCAAATCAGGAAACTTTTTATTTACATTTTGAATTCTATAACATAAAGCTGTGTTATACTTCTTTTTGCAATAAAATTATTTAAGTCATCCTGACAATATATGATACAAGACTAAAGAAAGGTCTTTTCATGATAATAAGTATGTGTCTAGTAAAGCTAATAAATAACCTATTCTCTGTTCAAACCTTCTGTGCTTTGTTGGCAAAATGCTAATGTTTAATGTTGATTACATAGTCTGATGATATTAATAAAGCTTGATATGAATTCTAATAAGCCATCTAGGTAAACAGTTTCACAAGAGTATGTGGCTCAGATTTTATTTTTATAATAACCAAGTAATCTTAGAGTAGGTGATTTAAAAAATATATCTTTTAATGCAGGTGTGGGGATGGTTTGGGGAGTCTTGCACTACATGAAATATCGCTGGGCAAAAGAGGAAGAGGAGACCAGGCAGATGTATGATATGGTGGTAAAGATTATAGGTATGAACCTTTTTTTTTTTAATTATGCATTTAAAGTATATGTATAAAAGCTTTCAAAATACCCTGACCTTTAAACCTGCCTGTTACATTCAGGTGAGTGGTTTGCTCTTAAATGTGACAACTTTTCTTCCTTGGGGATATATACATATAATATATTCATATCCCCAAAGGGACTGAACCATTTCTAGCGCGCTTTAAATCTAAGCAAGCTTTTTGGAATGAAAAGTTAATTCACTAGTAATGTATGTTGTAATTGTATTGTGTGGCCAGATGTATGTTAGTTTAACAACCTACTCTTTTAAAAAAAATTTAAAAAAAGGAAAAAACTAAAAAGGAAATTAGTAGGGTACTCAATGGATTAAACAATAATGAACAATGTTCTCCATTCCCAATTGGTCCTTTTTAATTAAATTTTAACTGGTCAACATGTCCTCTTCTAAAACTTAACTATCTTCCTGCTAAATTTCATTTTCAGTAGTTGTATTAAGAGGGTGAAGCCTTTTAACCAACTGGTGAAGTTTGGGATTACTTTAACCTACTATTACCAAAATGGGATGTCTCCATGTACCCACAGATTAATTTTATTGTTGTTTTACTTTAAGGGACATTGCATATTACTAATGCAGTCAATAATACAATAGTGATCCGGTGTGTCTGTGTGTGTGAGATGTTCTGTAGCAATACTTTTTTGTACTTTTAAGTCTTAATTTATGACTTGGCTTTTAACTGCAGTGATCATTTGAAATTGAGAATATGCCCATATCTCCTCCTGCTCCCCCCCCCCTTTTTGTTTTTAAAATTTAATCTTATGGGGAGGGAATTCATTGCTTGTCTACATTTTAAGTGTGCCTAAACATTTCTGCTTATAGTTAAAATTAACACTCAAGTTGATTAAAACTGCAAACTTGAAACTGAACATCAGGTTTATTTTGTGCATTTGACAGCACTTTTGATGTGTAGTCCAATTTTGCTGTTTCCCCTGGGTAGTCAGCTTCCCTGATCTGTTTTCCACGTGGTTGGTATGAGAGACTTTTAAAAAAAAACAAACAACAAAAAACCAACAAAAAAGGCAAAAACAATTGGGAAAACTACCAAAATTAGCAGAGGAACTTGAGGCAGCTCTGTTTTGTAGTCAGAACTGTTCCTTATTTGCTTTTTTGTGAAGCCAGCCAGCCTGCAGATTCACTCTTCCTTTTAACCACAGCTAACTGCTTATTCCAACTTTCTCAGATGTTTTAAGAAGTCACAATGAAGCGTGTCAGGAAAATAAAGACTTACAGCCATATATGCCTATTCCACATGTACGCGATTCCTTAATACCACCTCAAGACAGGTATGTTCAGAATAGTCTTTTGACTTGTTTAAGAAAATAAGTGTCATACTGGGTTGGACCAATGGTACATCTAGCCCAGTGACAGCAGTGGATGTTTTAGAGGGAGAGCATATGAACAGGATATATCTAGTGATCTGTCCCAGGTTCATTACCCTCCCTGGCATCCACCATTATTGGTTTAGAGATACCAAAGGAAACACCTCTGACTGTTCTCTTTAAAAACTATTATTGGATCTATCATTCATGAATTGGGCTAGTCCCCTTTTTAACTTGGTGATACTATCTGCATCTACAACTTCCTGTGGTAGTGAGTTCTATTAAGTTAACTTGGGCTGTTTAAGAAAGTACTTTCTTGTGTTAGTTTTAAATATGTCTCCTGCTAATTTCAGTGGACATGTACATAAATATCTTGGTCACTGAGCTAAGTTCCTGAATATTTCACGCAAGCAAGAAAATCAGTAAATTGTTGCAGGGCTAGAATTTTTTTAAAAATAAGAGGTGGGGGGTAAAGCCCCTAAAATATTATGTACTGGTTGTTGGCTACACAGCTTTTATAATACAAAAAACGCTTTTTTTTTTCTTGTTCTATGTTTAAGGAAAAAAATGAAGAAGGTTTGGGATAGAGCAGTTGACTTCCTTGCTACAAATGAATCTAGAGTTCGCACAGAGACGCGAAGAATAGGTGGTGCTGATTTCTCTGTCTGGAGATGGATACAGCCATCCGCAGCATGTGACAAAATTTTAGTTATACCATCCAAAGTATGGCAAGGCCAAGGTATAATAATTTAGTTAAATTTTGTAAATATAACTTGTTTTAAATTCTTCCATTAAGATTAATTCTTGCATCTCTTAAAGGAGGCTTGTCTGTTTTGAAAACAAAATTATTTGGTGTCTGACATAATTTAGATAAAGTTCTACAATAAACTTGAAGCAGAACAAGAACACAACCAATAACTACATTTGTCTACACTGACTAATCCATGTTTCTTTGTAATTTATTCCCTTCTCTCTTGCAAAGGATTTATGATACAGGCTTTGACTGACCAAAGCTCCGAATTGTCTTGTGATATAAGAGACTGGCACAAGTTATTTTGTAGTAAACTTTGGGATTGATGGAAGTGAACATTGTGGATGAGAACTCAATTGGCAATCATTTCTACTTTGAGTCCTCTAATTTTTCAGAAGTCCATCTTTAGTGTGTTCTTCTGGCTTGGTACTTCGTTGTTAACGTTTGATTTTAGCCATATCAGTGCACCATCCCAGTTTATGGATTAATTTCCTTTGGCTATCAGAATCCTGATTAGTTTAAGCTTGTCTTCTCTGATATCATAGTTTCTAGGGTCGGAAGGGACCTGAGTAGATCATCTAGTCCAGTCCCCTGCCATGGCAGGAAAGATTACTGGGGTCAAATGATCCCAGCAAGGTGTTCATCTAGCCTCCTCTTAAAGACCCCTAGGGCAGGAGCCAGCACCACCTCTCTTGGAAGTTGGTTCCAGATCCTAGCCGGCCTGACCGTGAAGTAGTGCCTTCTGATATCTAGCTGATATCTTCCTTATGTCCAGCCTGAAACAGTCTTGTAGTAATTTATAACCATTCAACCTCGTCATCCCTTGGGGCACTCTGGTGAACAAACATTCCTCCAGATACTGGTGGTCACCCCTGATAAACTTATAGGTGGCCATCAGATCACCCCTGAGCCTGCACTTTTCCAGGCTAAAGAACCCCATGGCTCTCAGCCTGTTGCTGTAAGATCTGTTTTCCTGACCTCTGATCATGTGTGTGGCTCCCCTCTGGACTCCCTCAAGCTTCTCCACATCCTTCTTGAGTTGTGGGGCCCAAAACCGGATGCAGTACTCCAGCTGCAGCCTCACCAAGGTCAAGTGCAACAGGAGAATGATGTCCTGGGATTTCCTTGAGAAGCTTCTATGGATGCAAGCCAGCATTTTGCTTGCTTTACTAGCTGCAGCATCGTATTGAAGGCCCATATCCATCTTGTGATCAATGGCGACTCCCAAGTCTCTTTCTTCCATAGTGCTAACCAGTTATGTTTGTATATTATTTCATTTATTTTTTATTAGCCTGTAACACTTATGTAGTAGCTTATAGCTTGAATTATTTTAATGACATTGTTAGAATGTTGATTATACCTGGCAGAGCACCTGACACAGGATTTTGACTGCTTTTTTTTTTTTTTTTTTTTTTAGATTCCCCTTTTCCATTGTTATATGCCCTTTCAAAATATGCTGTAAGGCTTTTTGGAAGTATGCATTGATAGTAACCATCTAGCATTCATTTGCTAATTACAGTCAAACTCCGTTAGAAATCACAGTTTTGTCTCTAAGTATCCTACCAAGTGAAATTATAAACTTTGTCAGTGGGACCATACTTGTGAGGCACTGATGAGAACCACTCTGGGGAGGAATATGCACCCCATCTGCCCCAGTTCTATCTCGTAAACCAGTCAAAACAGTAAGAACCCCGAGGGAGGGAGGGAGGGAGGGAAGAATAAATGCACAAAGTCTGTTGAAGGACAGCATACACACTGTGAAGTAACCTCTTTGAAGGCTTCTGTATGTTTTTTATTAGAGAGTTACAGCAGTTTCCCTTAGCTTCATAGAACTTGAATTAGGTACAGTAGAACCCTGATCATTCATATCCAGGTGATTCACAACCTCTTTAACTTGCAGTCAGTTGCTGAATGAAGGCTGCTTGCTACAGCTTTACTCCAGACTAAATAAGCCCAGTTCAATCACCCTCTTCTCGTAAGTCATGTTCTCCAGCCTTCTAACCATTTTTTTTGCCTGCTGTTGGAGTCTCTTCAATTTGTCCACGAACTTTCTGTAGTGGGGGCCCAAAACTGGACACAGGACTTCAGATGTGGCCTCGGCAGTGCTGAATAGAGGGGAATAATCGCTTGCCTCAGTCCGCTGGCAACGCTTCTATCTCTTGCCTTTTTCATTTCTAGGTATATGGTGAGGCTGATGACACTACACCAACCTCTCTGAGCTGGTTAAAATGTAAAGGGCAATTTCATAGCTTTGTAAAGTGTTAGTGTCCCCCTGCTTCCCGACCCTGGCTTACTGTAATAATTTAGGGTATTATCTTAAGTCAGAAGCTGGAGACTTAGCAGTGATCCAGGCATAGAATAATACAGTAATAGAAAATTAGAGTTGGAAGGGACCTCGGGAGATCATCTAGTGATCCAGACTGGGATGATGTTTAGCTAGATTACATGAGAAATGCCTCAAGTTGGATATATGGGGAAGTCTGACGTTAGGTCCTATATTAGACTGCCAGGTTTGCTTTTAGACTGCTTTTCATTTGCTAGTTTAGTAACGAGTACATCTTTAATTTTAATACAAAATTTATTGGGCTGTACTGATTTATAAACTAGTGTTGCTTGTATTCAGTTGCATTCAATGAATGTTCATCTTAGTATCTATTTTCAAGCATACACATTTGCTGCAAGTGTTTCTGTTCATTAGTATGAACACAGTTAGAATCACAGTTCTAATAGTTTCTAACGTGGAACAGTTAAGCTGTGCCAAAGGTAAACCTATCCTTTATTTTTCAGTATTCTCACCCCCCCATCTCCTTTTTGTTAAAATTTTATTGTAGGGTTTTAAGCAAACCATTGAGCGTAGCGCAATAATGGCTCTGTTTTGAGCCTTCAGTTATTGCAAAAAGTATTAATGGGAGGTGAAATCTTGTATTCCGGTATCAGGAACTGTCTGTTCCAGATTCTCAGTAGATTTGAGTACGTAATGAAGTGGCATAAATAAAAGCTCACCATAAAATTACATCTCCATATACTTTTCAGATAGTTGTTGTTTAAATAGAACAGCTAGAATAACAGAATAATAGAAAATTATGGTTGGAAGGGACCTCAGGAGATCATCTAGGCCAACCCCCTGCTCAAAGCAGGACCATCTGCAACTAGATCACCCCAGCCAAGGCTTTGTCTAGCCAGGTCTTAAAAACTTCCAAGGATGGAGATTCCACAACCTGTCTGAGTAACCTGTTCCAATGCTTTATTACCCTCCTAGTGAGAGTTTTTCCTAATGTGTCATTTAAACTTCCCTTGCTGCAACTTGAGACCATTGCTCCTTGTTCTGTCATCTGCCACCCCTGAGAACAGTTTACTTCCATCCTCTTTGTAACCACTCCTCAGGTAATTGAAGGCTGCTATTAAATCTCCCCTCTGTCTTCTCCAGACTAAATAAGCCCAGTTCCCTCAGCCTCTCCTCTAGAAGTCATGTGGCCCAGCCCTGTCACCATTTTTGTTGTCCTCTGCTGGATTCTCGTCGGTTTGTCTACATCCTTTTTGTGGTGGGGGGCCCAAAACTGGACACAGTACTCCAGGTGTGGCCTGGCCAGTTTTATATATTCATACCCAGTGCACTTAGACAAGTTATCAAGAACTTACATTTCTGTGTTCACTGGTACTGTAGGTGGTGCAGGTATCTTCTGTCTTAATTAAGCATTCACATTTTGGCAATGTAGAATCTGTTTTTTTTATTTGCTTGTTGGCCTAAGTATCAAAAACACTAACTCTTACACATGAAAATTATGAATCTGGGATATAGAAGTATTGGAGTTAGTATGCTCTGTTTTAAGTCTGTATAGGAAGCTTGTAACTAATTGAAACTTATTTTTCTTTTGTATGTGGAAGGAAAGGTTTGTGTTAATAAAACAAAATAGCAAAAGGGAATAATAACACACAAAGCTTGAGGTACTTGTAAATTTTGCTGTACTGTATTATATTCACCACTTTGCTATTACTTCTTTGTAGCATTTCATTTAGATAGAAGAAATTCACCACCAAACAGTTTGACGCCATGTTTAAAGATTCGCAATATGTTTGACCCAGTCATGTAAGTAAATATATTTTGTTTATATTTCAAACAATAGTTTCAGTGCTTGCTGAAGTGTTCTGCCTCTCTTTAAAATCCCTTTTGAAGATGCCAAACCCCACTGCTGCCATCAGATAAACAATATTGTGAATGCACAAAAGATGATCATGGGCAGCAGCAGGTGTGCTTTACTGAACTGATCACAAATCGTTCTGTCTACTGTCACATAGCCTGTGTATGATAGATGTTGGGCTATAATGAAACTTGCACAAATTAGATTTAAAGTCATTAAACAAGAAATATTGCATACTTGTTTTGTTGCAAGTGAAAACCAGCCAAAAGTAAAGTTTGTAATGACTCCTCTATAGAATCAGAGGATTGGAAGATAGCATGGATGACTTCTCCAAACTAAATTTCCTGTTTCTCTTGATCTTTCTTCATATGGCTTGCATTCCAGCCCCTTTATCTTTGTCACTCATCCCTGGATCCTCTCCAGTTTTACTTTGTCTTTCTTAAAATGTAGCACCCAGAACTGCACACAGCAATCTACCTGAGGCTTAACCAGTACCTAATAGAGGACACTTGCTTTGCATGGTTTTGGTGTATTCAGTTCACACTGGTGCCCAACGATACTTCTGAAATATGCAATAACATTAATCTTAGCCTTTTCTCTCTTCCCCACTCCTGTAATAAAGCAAAACACATACAATATTTTAACTTCCCTTCCAATTGGCTCTCCTTTCCAGTAGATATATGGTCTTATGTTCTTGGTGCTTGATTGAGTACAGCATTAAGGAAAGAAAAAAAGAATCCCTAAAACAAATCCCAAGCTAAACGAATTATTTAAAATTAAAACAAAGCCCTGTGCTACGTCTACTTGTTCATGGTTAGATACACTTTCTCATAGTGGTATTGAAGAAAATCAGTTCTGTTCTATTGCTTACTACCACTTTTTAATCTAATTTGATTAAATGCCACTCTAGAAAGCCTCAGTGGATGGAAAAATATATTTGAGTTTGTTTAAAAACAGCAACAACACAAAAAACTACCAAAGATTTCAAAAGGTGCAGTGCATTCCATTTAAGTGTATAGGCTTGGAACTGAAACAAGGCTATGTACTTATCTGTACTTAATTAATCAATGTTTATGGTATCCGTTTTGGTATCAATAGCCATGTTTTGGTATTAGTAGCTGCAAACAGACTAGCTTCTATCATTTTCATGGCTTCTAGTAATAGTATTAGGACTGCTCTTAGAAGCCTTGAAAATGACAGGAGATAGCTGCCTGGAAACAAACAAATTATGTCATTTTCAAGGTTTCCAATAGCAGCTCTTTTTCAAAAGCAGCTGCTTTCCCTTCAGTTCAGTTGCCAATTATTATGCACATAAATGGAGTACACAGCAGACAATTGGGCTGAAGGATGCTGTGCACTTAACTGATACGAAGGTAACCAGTGTTTGTTGGCCACAAGGAACATGACCAGTATACTCATTTTTGTAACTGCTGTTTGACAAAGCTAAGAACAAGCAGATATACTGGAGTCATCTGATTGCAAACCCAGGGTGCATAATTTGGTGCATTTAAAACCATCTGGGGCTAAAACATATATGTAAAACTTGTTTAGGCCCACCTGATTGCCAAGAAAAACTTAATAGTCTTCTAAGGAACTATTTTCAAGTAGTGGTTTAGATTCCTCAGGTTTGCCTTTTTGATGGTACAGATTCTACCTTCTACAGGAAAAAGTATATCCTTTTGAAGCTTTTTTTTTTTTAAAGGTTGCATTTTTTTATGATTAACTGAAATGAAAGTCATCCTAGTGTATTAAGTACTGATGTACATCCCTCAACATCAAATTCCTGATCAGGTTTTAGAGATAGTAGATTAGGACTTCACTTGTTAAATATTTCTTTTAAATTTAGAAAAATAACACTTTGAGTATCCTTCTGTACTGCAGCTAGTAAGGAAGATTTGATTTCTAACAATTTCCTGATGCATACATTTTCAAGGGAACCACATACGAGAAAACAAATTATAAAACTGAGTTAAATCAATAAATTAAAGGGGACATCCAAAGGTTCTAACATTGTTCTTTTTTTTAAGCGTTCCTTTCTCATTAAGAAAGTGGTATACAGATTTAAAAGTTGTATTTTAATGAAGTCTTCCTTTAATTGCTCTATTTAGGGAAATAGGGGATCACTGGCATTTAGCAATTCAAGAAGCAATCCTGGAAAAATGCAGTGATAATGATGGAATTGTTCATATTGCTGTAGACAAAAATTCACGCGAGGTAAATGCTTTTCCAGTAGTTTCTTTCAATATTTGTTTTGCCGCCTTGGACTCAAACTAACCCTATTTTTTTCACCACAGGGTTGTGTATATGTCAAGTGTCTATCTCCAGAATATGCTGGAAAAGCTTTTAAGGCATTACATGGCTCTTGGTTTGATGGTAAGAGGTTTGCTGTTTATAAAGAACTGGGGAAGAATACAGTGCTCATTTTAACTAGCATTGTTGGTCAAATTTGAATTAAAATACCAAGCTATAATGAAGTATGTTTCGATTACTTTTTTACTGTATCAGTGCATTGAAATGTTTGTGCATTGTGTATTTAACTACAGGAAAGCTGGTAACAGTAAAGTATCTACGACTAGATCGATATCATCATCGCTTTCCCCAGGCTCTTACTTGCAACGCTCCGTTGAAGCCATCAAACAAACACATGAACTCTATGTCACATCTTCGTCTTCGGACAGGCACAACTAACTCTCAGGGAAGTTCCTGAGAAGACTTTCTACAACTCTTAGGACTGTTACTTGCAGCAGGAAAATTCCTGTTTGGCTGCCGTCTTCCTTTTTTAGTGCTTTTTGTATGTAATAATTTCATTGATCAAATAAAAGTCTGAGCGTTCCAGAAATCTTGTTTCCAAAGGGACTTAGCAATGAGGCAGTAATACTGAGCTGACAAAACAGTTGCTTCAGGAAGTTTTTGGAATTGAAGTAAACCAGTGCATTTACAATTTGCATGAGGAACACTGAATTTATTAAATATTTTCAGATATGGTGACTGTATTTTTGCACCAAGAAGTGTTTTGATAGAATCCAAAAGCATGGAGAAGAGAAGACTTCCTGTGTTTCCATAGTTTCCTGTGAAATGATCTTGTGGGTATTTTGTAACAAACCACCTACAGTTCCTGATGACAAATACTTAAAAACAAAAAAACAAAATTGTTAATTTTTCAGTCTAATCTTAGTTTCTGTTGCTGTAAAACATTCATTTGCTGCAGTTGGGGTATGGGAAAATTTAATTTGGCTTCAGTGGTTGCATATAAGTGTGAGCGGAAAAAGAAATTGAATGCAGATGTACTGGTTTTTGTACATAAATGTAAATGCTGGTGGTGGCAAAAGTGGTCTTGTTCTGTGAGGATGTCTGCATTTAAAGCAGTGAATAAGCTTCCTATTTTATTCATAACCTAATGTTTTATATGTGTTTGGTTGTACTATCCCATAAAGGTCAAACAGCCAAACCTTTAAAGTATTAGATACAAGTTAAATATCTTTTATAGGTTTTATATTAAAATATTTGACTATGATTTTGTGTGAAAGTCTGATACCAGTTGTAATGAATTCAAATTTACATGAGCAATAAAGAAGCAATTGGCAGATACTGGAAAAATGTTTTGTGAAAAGCTGTATTTATTATAAATACCAGGACTGTGACAAAGTACCATTGGGATTAAGTAACTTTCCCAATATAATTTAAATTTTTAATTAACCAGTCAATTGTTAAAATTAAAAAGGGCACACATTTTTACAACAATTTTGGTTAATAAAAGCTAGATATATAGCTAAGCATACAAGCGATGATAACTCTTGTGTTTCAGTATTATAAATTTATCTATTATCATTTATGTACTTATCAGCTACAATTTTGTAGTTACTAAGTTTAGTTGCAAATCTAAGTCTATTGGGTACATGAATCCCCTATTTAAATGAGATAATTTTATTTAATTATCCAGCTGAATACTGCATAGGTGGAGAGACTGGGAGTTGCACCAGTTCAGATAAATTTATTAGAAACTCACTAATTTTTTTGTAGATATGATGGATTTGTAGCATGGACTTGCACAAATATGCACGTTTTTCTTACGGTTAAGTAAACATGATGCACACTATTCCGCAACAGAAAATCCTACTGTGCCTTACCTTTGTGCTTTTGTGGGCACCATGTTTATTATCAGAGGGTTTGTTACCTGAAAAATTTTAAAATTCTCAGTTTTGTCTCAGATGCTAATGAATGAGTATATATAATATATATAATCAGCCATGCAAAATTCTACTCACCAAGGACAAGTACATATTTTTGATGGGTGAGTAGATTGTGCTAGGTCTGGTAGATTTTCATGAATTTTACTATATACATATATGTATAATATACATGTATATGTATTATATATGTATATAAACTGATTTTGCTGTAATTGATGTGCTTCGTAGTGATTTGTTGACCTGCTATTTAGTGACCCCATCTTGTGACCTGTTACAAGAGTGAATGTAAAAGTAGTTGTGGCATTTTAAAAGGTTGTCTTTTGATGCAGATGAATCTTTCTTCTAAAATTATATTTCTTGTAAACACTGTACATTTTATTATTGTAATATGTACTATTATGCAGCTTCTTTTACCTAAAACTGTTAAGTTGACTAATCCCTCACTGCAAGACAGATGGGAATGTGTGTAATATCTGGACATTCTGAGAGAGATCAGATGTTTGATGTAATTTGTCACCTGTCCTGTAAGAGAAACTACAAAACAAACAAAACAAACCTAAACTAATTAAAGGTTTATTAGGGGTTTTTATATATGTCTGAACTTTTAGATCTCAAAAGTCTGTTTTGGTTTGAATGCTTCCTTCTTCCCTGACCCCAGAAGAAAAGCTTTTTTATGGCCACCTAATGGTTTAACAAACTAAGTTTATGAAGCACTTGAGACTAGATCATAGTGCTAGTCTTCAGTTACATAAAAAAATGTATTAAATCAAATTTGGTAGGCCACTAAATTGTAGAGTATCCAACAGTGTAGATAGTAAGGGTGTTCCAATTAGTACCTGGTGGGGGTGGGGGGTGTTGATTGATTGATTGTTTTTAAATCTGCTTTCTTTAAAGCTGGCTTGACCTCTATAACACAGATCTATGAATCTAGCTCACTTCTTTTTTTTGTTGTATATTAGTGCTATAGGGCCTGTACTAGATAATAGTCTTTGATACCAGTCAAATGAATCCATGTTCTACCAAGGGATATCATTTAAATGATTGTTCTCATTGTTAAACTTGCATCTCGTGTCTAGTTTGCATTAGTTTAGTTTCTTTTGGATTGTGTTTTCCCTAGCTTAAAGAGTTGTCTGCTATCAAATCATTTTTCTGTGCAGGTATTTGTAGACAGTGACCAGTTCACCTCTGAGGCCACATACGGGTGTGTTGTGTTACCTTTCTACCAGGAGAATGGCAATTGCCCTCAGTAGAAAGGAGAAGTGTAAAAGCATTCATTCAGTTTCTTGCTGGGGAGACCTTCTAACCTGGAAGATCTTCCTTGTTCAGAGAGTTTCTCTCAAGAATGTTGGGGTCTGGTCCAGGAGGGGAGCAAAGAACCAGGCCAGTGTTCCTTGCACTTTCCCAGATTGAGGGCTGCCCAGCTGGGGGGGAATGGGCTGTTGGCATTGCCCTGTTGCTTCAGTGCCCTCCAGAAAGTCCCTGCCTGCTCCCTCAACTGGGATCCCCAGTCCGAGGAACTTGGGGCGGGGGTTGCTGGGCAGTTCAGTCTTTTTGACTCATTTCCGTTATCTCAGTGTTTAAACTAAAGCCGAGGTGTCAAATACCTGAACCATGAGATGAATCCAGCCTGCAGAGGTGAGTCGTCTGGGCCCCTGGGGCTTCTTGCATGTGGGACTACTGCTGACCGGAGCTTCTGTTTCACCATGGCTTCAGAACCCATGGAGAGAGAACCATCTCTCCTCCCCTCCCACTGGGGTTTTACTCTTCTCTGGTGACTAAGACCAGTCATGGGGTGAAAAGGGAGGGGGAAGGCAGAGTTATTAAATCCCTGGGTTCTGGTGCTGCACTGAGATTGGTCCTGGTACCGTTGGGGATTAACATAACTTGTTTGGACCCATGAACATCATTTTGACATTTTATTTTTATACCTTTTGGGTATAGATTATAGTAGCCTTCCCTTCAGGCATACTAAAATATTGCAAGTGTCTTTATTGAAGTATTAATAATTTCCTTCCTGCAGTAATTTTAATTTCTACATCTGATATAGTGGAAGGCACATGTGTACACAGCTAGGGGCAGGAGAAAGCAATAGCTATATCAGACACTTGTTTAAACACTTCCCCCCCCCCCTTTTAACAAAAAAATATGAATGGAGCTTCATTGTAAGCATAGATTTCTTTAGAAACATCTTTTAAATCCTCTTTTTTTCCAGATTTGTGACCAACTTGCAAGTTTGTTTTTAGAAGAATTTAACCAATCTATTTAAGTGCATAGCAGGAATTATTGCCCTCATTGCCAATATTGGGAAGCAAGAAGCTAAAGTCTTTGTGCATCTTACTACTATTTTGTCTATTTTGTATGCAACTTGAAACATCAATCCTGAACCCTTCTTCCCTCACTACTATTCTTTTATTTTGTTACCATGTGTGATGAAAGAATTTGATCTCACACCTTTGCCACTGAGAGAAAATTTGTGAATGTCTGTCTCTTCTGGTCAGAAATGCAAGTCTGGAGCTAACCATCTTGGTGGGCTGCTATCATTAATTTATTCAAGTTGGTTTAGGCCTATTTAAACCACTTGGCACTATAGGGTGTAAACGATGTACATATTTTTTCCTCTTTCCTACTCCACCCATTGCAGATTTTCTAAGCTGCAGGCAGGGAGCCTAAGCCATTACAGCTGGGAAAGAGGGAGTAAAAAAAATCTCTGAAGTGTTCCTTTTTCCTTCTGTTTTTTTCCAGTTTATTGTGAATGTGTCTTAGTAGAGGGTGCTGCTTTTAAGTACAGGTGTTGCCCATTCTCTAGCTGCCTGCTGTCGTACCCTCCCTTTCCTCCTGTCCTAGCATCCCAGAGCAGGCAGCCTGCAAGGGCCAACGGGGTCAGGTCGTCCAGCCCGAGCCCGCCCATCGGCTCCGCACTCCGGCAGCTCGCACCTGGCCCGGCCCAGGCCCCTAGCGCGGGGCGGGGCCGCCGGGCTGCGCGTGTCCCTGCCTCCTGCCGGTGAGTGCGGGGCCGGGGCCGGCTGCTCCCTGCGCCGCTGAGCCCTGCCCAGGGGCGTTTCGCCCTGGTTGCGCGAAGCCCTGTGCCGGGCGCCCCCCCTGAAGCTGCGGGGGCGGCTCCGCTCAGCTCCCAGCTCCATGCTCATATTTGGCCGCGGCGACTGTGCCCAGGCATTTCCCGGCATCCTCCCGGGCCGGCCGGGCAGGGCCCTGCGCTACCGGGCCCGGCGGTGCTGGCGGCTCCGGAGCCTCCCTATGCGCTTCGGCATCGGCCTCTTGTTGGCGGCCGCTGCTGCTGCAGGTATGGCCGGGGGGATCTGTCCCCCGCCCCGCCCCGCCCCCCACTCCGTGTCAGGGGCCGGGGGGAGCCCGGTGGGTACCGGGGTGTGCGCTTGGCCAGGCCCCGGCCGGCCGCGGAGCTGGGCCCCTGGGGGCCTCGGCTAGTCCCTCAGCTCTGCCCGCCGGCACCCTCGGGGCCTGCTACACCCCGCTGCCGGCCCCCGCCCCTGCCCCTCTCCAGGGGTCGTATTGCACTTTGGGGGGAGGGGGGGCTACAAAAAAAAAAGAGACTGCCCCTCACGATGCCCTAATGAAGTTAGATCTTCCCCTCCCCCCTTTATGATTTTCAAATGTCATAGGGCAGCTCTTGTCTCTTATGGGCTCCCCAAACTCCCCCATAATTCAAGCCCTGCTTTTCTCTGTCAGCTGCCCCTAGGCAGGGAGGTTGTGGCCCAGCTTCAGTGCAGGAGCTAGTGAGCAGGTTGTGAGGGGCATGATGGGTTTTGGCTGCCTCGCAGCAGTTTTTAGCAGGTGGTGGTGAGGAGAGAAGTTGGGGAAACCTACCCCAAGCACCAGCTTTGTCGAGTGAGGTGTCCATGCCTGCTTGGGGGCTGGACTCGCTTGGTTGATGATTTCGGTACAGTGCTTCGACTCGAGATGGGTCTTCAGGACTGTGCTGTAGTTCTCGGATGGGGGTCCCCCATGGCTTGTTAGGAAGGAGCATGGTACTAGGCTGAGCTGCTTACTAATAACACAGATAACAACACATATCCTGCCTTCTCCCTCCCTGACTCTGAGCTGTTACAGCTGCCCTCAAGACTGGAGCCTCCAGCCAGCTTTCATTCTTCTTCCGTCCGTCCATGAGGTAGTTCTGAAACCATTGGTGGTTTGAGATGTTTTACAGCATCGCAGAACTTGTGGGAGGAAATTTATTTTGAAGTTGGGTTTGGCTTAGGTTCAGGTTTTGAATTCAGGTTCTCTAAAAAGTGAAGCAGTGACTTCAGGCTAATAAATTCTGCATAAATTACTTTAGCAACTCCTCAAAGAAAAAGGTGGCAGCAAGCTCAAAAAAACCAAAACAAAACAGATGGGATGAATCATGGAGAACCACAGAATCAGAAAGAAGTAGGGCTGGAAGGGACCTCCAGAGGTCAGTTACCTCCTGAGGCAGGACCAGCCCTAACCAAACCATCCCATACAACCATAATTAAAACTCTGCATAAGACTGCCCTGACAATGCAGACCAAAAACCCTAACCTGCCACAGGTAAAGCAGGGAAACCAGGGCAGCCAACATCCTGCTTCTATGAAACCTCGATGTATGCTTGAGGCCTCAAGATGAGTTCAGTGCTTTGCTATAGTTATAGATTATATTTAAAAAAAACTCTTGTGTTTATATGTTATAGGTAATAGATGATATCAGATCAATAGTGTGCTAATGCAGTTTTGCAAAGGGCAAATAATACATATAGCAGATTGTTAAGAGGTGAAATGATGAATTCTGGCTTTTTAGTTTTAAGTTTAGGTTCTAGTCAACATTTATTCTTTGTAAGTGTCAGTCTAAAGATGGCAGCACAACTTTAGAGGAAGAATTATCGTGTATTGTAAATAGCACCTCAGTCAAATTAAGCTTAGATGTGTCTGTATTTTTAAAACCTGAGCGACCTGTGCCCATACTTGAGAACTGTTTAAACAATGTGTCACACGTGCCAAGCTGTGCCAGTTCTTTCTCACTTAAACTTCCCTTCTCTTCATGATCAAGGTGGCTCTAAAAGTACACTGTTTTGAAAGATACCAGAATGCAATCTACACTATGCAGATGGTTTGCTTTACTGATATGATGCTCTGTTTATGGCATGCAATCCATAAATGGTAGCTATAATCCAACTGCAGTGTGCCTTAAGGCCAATTGCTTTGCTTTTAGTGTTTAATGGTAAAAGTGTTTCTTGTTTTTATTTGCATCTTTGCTGACTTGTTTCCATGGCTTGCAGCCTCATTTTACGGATGATTTCTAATGTTATTTTTCACTGATGCATGCCATAGTTTTGTCATGGTGCCTGGGTTGCTTCACTGCCAAGTTTTGTTGGTAGTTGTGCCCTTTGAGATTTGATTCCAGGCATAATTATTGTGTGGCTTTTAATCCTAATCAGGCATTTGTTCCTAGCTTTTAGAATGCTGTGCTATTTTAGAGACTTCTCATTTTAGAAAAATAGTATTATTCCAGTCTATTCAGAGAATTAAATATAGTGAATGGATAGTCACTTACTAAATAACCCAAGAAAAGTATTTATTTGTACCACAAAAATATTGGTTAC